TTACACTATTACACTATATACGATATGTTTGTCTTTACTAGAGTCATCTATGGTAAAAATTTCAAGGAAATGTCTCCCTAAATACGAAAGTTGGCATTGGGAAGTCTGCGCATGCGCACATCTAATTTTTGCAATTTGCATTATGCCCCTCTTTACTAGAAACAGCTATAGTTAAAACTTCAAAAAATCTCTAGAAGTAATCAAGTTAACATTGCGCAATGCGCAGTCTAGACATGGGTACATTTGATTTTTGCTTCCATCAAATTTGAAAGAAATAATTAGCAATGCGCAGTGAGCAACGTACATCTGATTTTGACAATATGCGTTATGTTTGTCTTTACTAGCAGAATCTTCGGTTAAAATTTCAAAAACGAATATCAAGATTTTTCTTGGCTCAGGTGCCAGACCTATAAGCTACGGAATGCAAAAATAACGAACTAAATATCTTCAAAAATTGTAGGAGTAGTTAAGGCCTCGGACGGACGGAGAAAATGGCCACAGTAGCGCCTTGAAACATGAATTGGAAAATGTGCTAAAATGGCACCTGAGAATGAGGCGGGAAGACATGTAATTATAGAGGGACATCATGCGAAATCATATAAAAGGGGCGTAGGTGTGGTCAAAAAGACTATGAAAATGAACAAGCGTGAAAATAGTATGAAAGGAAGTGAAAGAGACGTGAAGAAACAAAGGTGATGAGAAAGGAAGCGCGAACAAAAGGTAAAAAAAAAGTGAGAATGAAAAACCCGTGAAGTATAGGTAAAGGAGTAGTGCAGCAAGGAAAGAAACGTAAAGGAGAAGTAATGAAGACGCCAATGTTGAAGTAAGTGTAAAGGAAGGATAAAGGGAAAGGCGCGAAAAAGAATAAAAGTTAAAAATTAACCGCATAGTAAATAAAGCGTATAGAGTGCATTAACGGTCCGAATAAAGGGTGAAGAAGGCCAGAAAACAACGGAAGGTCTGAAAGATTGAAGAGCAGAATTGGATTGGGTCACTGGGTCAACTGGGTTACCTGGGTCACTGAATTAAACTGGGTCGCTGGGTCACGTCATACTCTTTTCAGTTAGACCCAGTGACCCAGTTTGACCCAGTGACCCAACTTGACCCAGTTTGACCCAGCGACCAAATTCGACCCTGTAACCTAGTTTGATCGAAAAACGCAGTTAAGTCAGTGCCCTCGGTTCAAGTGTACAGATTTTGAAATAAATGAAATGCTGGTTTGTTGAAAATAATACTCGATTGCTTGACAACTGCCATTTCTGTGATGTTTGCTTTAATACTGCCGTAAAAAACTTTCCATGTCCCGAATTTTATTAGAATAATGTTATTTCTTTGCTTCAGGGCTTACCGGTTTGCTTACAGGTGTTCATTCACAATTAATTTTTTTCTACTAGTTAGCTTAATCCAAATAAATCTTTTCTCTAAATACTTTCATTGACTACTTGACTACAAACTATAAACAAATGCATTTGATTTTTTAGGTATTAGTTCTCTTGAATGAAATTGGGCTACGTGCTTGTTGCCGAATATTATTGAGGAAGTTTTTTTTAAATTAAAAGTTTCTTGAAATTGTTTTGGATGATACCTAACAATAATTTAATTACTGGGTCACCGGATTCAACAAGGGGTCAACGGTTTAAACTGGGCCACCGGGTCAAGATGGGTCACTGAGTAAAGCTGGGTCAAGCTGGGTCACCGGGTCAAGCTGGGTAACTGGGTCAAGCTGGGTAACCGGGTCAACTGGGTCACCGGGTCACTGGGTCACCGGGTCAGTAAACTAACTGGGTCACTGGGTCACTCTATGCTTGACTCAGTCCAACTCTGTTGAAGAGAAGTGATTGAAGCGTGAAGGAAAGTAGCGCAAGGGAACAGTTAGTGAAAAAGACGTGAAAAGTGAATAAAGGAGAAGTGAAAATAATTAATGGAAGCGTAAAGGAGTTCTGAAAGAAGGAGAAGTTAAGATACGACTAATGGAAAAGGTTGAAGAAAATGGAAAGAAGCCTGAAGGAGTCGTGGAAAGGAGTAGTAGGTAAGGGAAGTGTAAAAGGCTAAAGGAGCGCGGCGAAAAGTTATATAAAGAAAAATGTGAAAAAAACAATGTAAAAGATTCGTAAAGAATGGCAGAAGCTTGACATAAGGAACGTAAAGCAGAAGTGAAAGATTTTGGCGTGGAAGAAAAAATATGGCGGTGTCAAGAAAAGGTGTAAACCCAGAATAATCAAAGTAAAACACGTTTTTGTAAATAAAAATTATGTGAAGAGGAAGAGAGCGCGACGGTGTTAGAAATTCGTAACGAAAAAACCTGAGTGCGTGAAGGGGTCAGAAGAATTAGAGACGAAAGCAAAAAGGCGGTGTAAAAAAGACACAAATTAAGATGAAAAATGAGGAGGAATGAAAATTGAGTGGTGGGGAAATAAAAAATGAATAGTGGAAGCTTGAAGGAGGCCTAGGCAAATGAAAAAGACGTGAGGAAATTGGAAGCGAAATGGACGAAAAATACGTAAAGAAGCTGCGTGAAGGAAATAAAAAGCGCTCGTGGAAAAAGCCAAAAAGAAGCGTTTTGGATGCTCGGAGAAGTGTAAAAGAGCATCACGAAGTGAAGAGTAAAGCATGGCGAGAGTAGCAAAAAGATTAAAAGAAAGATGTAACAGGATGAGGGATGACGATAAACTTGAATGATAGGAGTATAGAAAAGAAACGTAACGCGTAGAGTACGCTTGAAGGATACGTCAAAAAGCTTTTGGGTAATGAGAGGTGTAAAAGGAAAAGGCGTAGAGAAGTCGAATGAAAGTAAAAGCCGCAAGCACGAAAAACCGGTAACGAGAGGATAAGTACGCGTGAAGAAATGGTGGAAAAGACGTTTGGGGGGTGGGGGGGTCAAATAAGTGTAAAGAGAAGAGGTCCCAACGAAAGTGGTATGAAATAAAAGGAAGAAAAATTTGAAAAAAGAGAAAGTGACGAAAGGAAACGTGAAAGAGGGATGAAGAGAGACTGAAAGGAGGAGGGCTTTCAAATAATGAAGCGTATACAGAAGGAGAAGAGAGAAATGAAATGGGGATGGCAAACCTGTGATGTATGCGGAAAAAGGATCTATTAAAAAAAGAAAAACCTGAAATTCCAAAGGTAATTCACATACAGAAGGAGGGCCCAAATGGGGATTTTGGGATTTACTTGAGCGTCAGATTAAAGTAAGGTGGGTTGACTACGTGTTAAAAAGTGTGCGTTTCAATAATGGGAATGTCAAGAATAACACAAGTAACATAATCTCCCGATTTCCACACGCCCAAGTGGAACAAATCGTCAATAAAGTTAAGTGCTTTCTATCTCTTGATTTACAACTAGATTTCAGGGGGGCGTTTTAGGAAGGTATTCACAAAATCTTTAGGCATGTAGCTTAATGATTATTAAAAGATATTCAGAATGGGCCTTTAGAAGAAATCTTTAGAAAGTTTCCACGGTTCTTTTGCTATTCCCTAATTCTGCGCAAAGAGTTAGACCTGAAACTTCTCTCGGAGTATCCTTGAGAATGTAGTCAGTCGTCAGGTCGTCTAATTGTCAGCCATGACACATCCCTGGCAGGTGTCACACAATCAATCAAAATAAAAGTACCTAAATCCTGAACAACTTAATGCCGGATTATAGCGAAACGTTCAAGTCAATACGCGTATGGGAATTGGTAAGGTAAAAGCGCATCCTTTCAATACCTTCTCACCCCCGGTCTTTCAGATAGTATGCCTAATTTGCCTGGTGTTAAGTGCGGTGACTTTAAAAAATCTGCAGTTAAATGAGTCCCTGAAATTGTACCTAGTAATACTATCCGCAGTTTGCACCTGCTTAACATCCGCCGATCTAATCCTGACCCGGTGTCGCGAAATTCCGTGGACGTATGGGATTCCGCTGCTGCTACTCGCGTCCCTGATGTTTTTTCTCTGCGTCGGTTTCCATTTGTCGATAAGGAAAGTTGGCCCGTTCTTATACGAGTCGTCCTTAGTTGCGTACAGTTTAGCTGGATCACTTTTTTTATTCGACGTTATGGATACGATACGCAGAAACACAGTGGGAGGAAAAAGCTCACGTTATCCATATTTTTGATAAGTCTCACTGTAGGTATATTTTTAAAAAAACTTGTACAATTTGTGTTTTTTTAAGTTCTACAGTACCCATTATATCCTTTTATTATTACCGTGAAACTTTGTAGACCTTGAAATGCCGAAGACAGAGGCCGAAAACCGGAAATCAAAAGAGACGACATTTTTCATCAAAAATTGTAGTTTTTGAACATACGGTACCATTTAGGGTTGTAATTTTTCAGAATCTGAAGGTGTTTATGAAAGAATGCATATACAAAAATTGGGCACGAGCATTATACCTTTTTTAATTACGGGGCGATCCAAATCCAGTTGCCTATTATGTTTTGTGGTAGGTAATTGGAGAATTCCTACAGAAACTTCACACATCTACCCTTAAAATTAGAAGCAAGTAAGACAAATCTGCACATTTAGTGGAATTGTGATGAAATAGTCGTAAGCCTTGGAGGAATTAACAATCGTCCATATTCTGCGTATTTCAATTCTGTAGAGCATTGCTTTAATAAAATCGGTAGGTTAATCACCTACCGATGTGGATCATCCTCAGTTATCTTAATTGGGGGCATTTTATTACAGTTGCGAATTCGACATGGTGTTATTTTAACAGCATAGAAACTGCAAGGTAGCTTCTGCTGATCGTATGTGGGAATGAGTTTTTGCCTTGGTTCCGGTTTGATTTGGGGGGCGTAATTAATCGAACAAATTAAATATGTCCTCTCTCGTAAATCGGCAGGCATTTTGTAGGCGTTCATTAACTAACGGCAAATAGGAAGGGGGTAGTCTGGAAACCTTTTTCACTAATTCGGTGTAGGACTGCCAAAGGTGATTGCTGCGGAAATCCTTTGAATTGTTCGTTACGTTCAGCGTAAAATTATTATTTTTATTTTCGACTGGTTAGAAAAGCTGGCATTTAAGTCACCTTGCTGTTAGTAAAACCAAAGGAGATTGGCCGATCATTATCCGAAAACATGTTATGAATCAGTAATGTGAAAAAAATGGTTGTCGCGAAAACTTTTCTTTTGATAGTGGAAAAGTAAAAACTCGTACTAGTTTGGGATATAAACTCCTCGAATAAATTTCATACTGAGGGCAATTAGTACAAGAAAGATTATCCGACGGAGGGGTTCCAAATTGCAGGTCTGTTAACCTGCAAATCCGGACATCCAATTATCCGGATGCGCTGTCACGGTCCCCATATTTGTTTGTTTAAGTTTTATTCATATGCCCACGCATGTGTATTTTATTTATGCAGATTAAAATTATGTTTTTTGTTCCATTCATGAGAATTTGTTGTTTTTTAATTAAAAATTTTTTAACATAAAATAACGTTAGCCCACTATTCAGTAATCCGGACAATTCACTAATTCGGATTAAAGAGATTGATCTGTAACTTCAAATGCGCCTGGTATGAACTACAACACCGTAAACCCCTTTATGTTATAAGGAAATGACACACCACACACAGTGGCTATACCTATGGAATAAACAGTCCCAGGTAGAACGCACCATAGGGAAACGGTAATGTATTTTTTCGCGGAGGATCCACGAGATCTTTGAAATTAGCGTTCAACGTACTACTCCGATCTCTTTCTAGCATCAGGAAAACGCAATAACGTACGCTGAACGCTAACTGTAAATATACTCGTACATATCAAAGGCCTCGTTAATCCTTCGCGAAAATACATTAATTCTGTTTGAGTATGGTGCGTTCAATCTGGGACACACGATAATACAGAAACATGCAAGAATAGATATCTGCTATAATATACGTTATTCAAGACTCTTACAGTTTTCTTACTATGAATATCACATGGCGTGTTAGAAATTTCCTTGTGATTGGTGCAAATGCATGAACACTGTAAACAATACTCCAACTGCATTTTACTTACTGTGTGACTGTGTGTTGACTAAATTCCGAGAAAACAAAAAGGAATTCATTAGTGAATTTATTGAATTGTATAGATCTTTTCCTTGTCTTTGGAAAGTCAAGTTCAAAAAATATAGTGATAGAAATATGAAATCCCACGGGCAAATTAGACTGATCGTGGAAACGCATTCAGTTTAATTTGCGCAAATTAGCATGCACAAGTAAATTTGCACACATTGCATGAACGTAACACCCCACCTTTACCCTATAAAGATCCATTGTAGACTATAATTATAGTCAAATTGTACTGAATATTCCTGAAAATTCTAAAAACCGTTCAAAAACTTCGATACGAGCTTCGTAATCGCAGACAGGACAAAACATTGCGAAGTTTTAAGATTATAGTTCGGAAAACTACAAACAGAATTTTCCATGATTCTATGGCTTCTTGGAAGTCCGTTTAAAAATGCTTTGCTGTCATTGTTCTTTGAAAATACTAAAGACTTCCTGAGGAATCTCCATGCGTTTCATCCTGAAAAAAAAAACTCCTCTAGAAAAATGTCTAAGGCTTTTCAACATTCCTCTGACTATACCTTTTGAGATCAGAGACCATCGTCCGCAACCTGTGTAAGAGTTTTCAGTAAATCACGCCTTGGGAAAATTTTCCAAAGTCTTTAAAGGTTGCGAAAATGAATCATGTCATTAGTAGACAGATGGTTGCAAAAATGCATATCTAGGAGTGATAAGGAAGAGTTTTACTATAAGAAGAGTGGCTGTACCATCGTGGTACCATCTATTGGACTAAATTCAAATCATCTCAACTAATTGACGTATGTCGTCCAAACGTCACCCGACTAAGGAAGCTAACGACAAATTGAATGGAAAATCAGATTTACAACTCGACACAAATATGCGAATTTGTGAGTTAACGCCTGCCGTCCGCATTTCTCATCGTCCCTTTTCAGGTAGCGTGCGCAACCTGCTTCGGTTTATCTACCGGCACCATTCTTATGGGATACGTGGCATTACACGATCCCCTTAAGAGTACGGTGGTGGCACTGCCAGCGGCTTTTGGTGTGTTAACGTTAATTAATCTACTGGTATCAACGACAAACGAACCGCTCCTGTGGAAGTTCTGGACTCCAGTGGCGCTTCTCGCAGCTATGCTGTTTTACGTCTCCACCGGTTGTCTGGTATGGACGAACGTCGCTACCGGGTATTACGAATTACTTCTAATCGCCTATGGTTTCACCGGATCGGTCTTTTTATTCGACGTCGTCGACATGGCACGTTTGCAATGTTTCTACAAAGAAACCGTACCGCTCCAGCACCACGTGTCCCCCAAACTAAGCGACAAAAGCGTCCAAGTCCAAATTGAAACTGAAGACGTTAAATCGATAAGCGAACAACCCGAACATGTCGACGATAACAAATGCGCCCGTGGAGAGACGAGGAAATTTAACAGAAGGCCGACCCCCAGTCACGGTGGAACCTTCCACGTTTCCAAGAACATCGTCCCACTCTCGACGATGAGGTAAGTTTTAATCCGGCTCGACCATGACAAATCTGCCAATTAAGATCGGAAGACGAATCCGACCACTCGTGCGAGTGCCACCCCCGCTCGATCGCCGGACCCAGGCGAAGTTCGCAAGCCGGCGTAAGGCAGCCCCTAGCCACTTATCAACTGAAATGCGCGGACTGCGAGTGCCCGTGCAACACTGACGAGTACGTCTACGGCGGACAAAGGAAGAAACTGGCCGCAATTCAGAGGAGCACTTCAGGTGGCAAGGGAGGAAGACACGGGGATTTATTGCGCGTTATTGTAGGTAGTCGCAATAAGTACTCGGCGGGAAGCTGCCCAACTAGTAACAGTACTAGCGAACAACATTCTCCGGTAAGCGACAATGGCTGTGAATGTACAACGTCCAGTTTCGCCACAAACTACACTACGTCGTCAGTCGAAAGGACTATAGTTTTCCAAAGCTTTAATCCGAATTCTGGAAGTGTTTGGAGCAACTCGTGGGTTCCTGGTGCAGATCGACCGTGCCCTATACTTCCAGGATCCGTTGCGGATTGCACGCAGCCTACGTAAGTATTTAGTGCACGCTTCCGCCCCCAACAGTACCCTTTTAGAACGATCAACATCGAAAGGTGTATAACAATTAAACAAGCAGGTAGCTATGTGGTGTCTCCACAATTTAAAACTGGAACACTTACTAGAACTCTGCCAGTAAGCAGAATAGCGCGCAGAGGGACTCAGTGCACACAAATGTAGAGTGGAAATGACAACACGTGGATAGATTATTTAAGATGTAAGCGTTCAATTTACAATGCATTTGAAGCATAGTAAACAGTGTAAGGAAGTTCTATTTTTTATTATTCGCAACCTCCCTCCCTCCCTGTTTCCATATTTCTAATTTTGTTCGAAGAAATTTTAATATTCCTATAGGAATCGACCCATGAAAGTTATTCCCATGACACAGATTTTGTATTGTATTTTTTGATAATTCAAATCCACACGAAATCCGTCGAAACCAAACAAAGGATTTTTGGTTATTTTGTTTCATTGATTCGAAAATTGCATTTAATTTCAGCGATACTAATCCTTTGATTGGATTAACATTCATTCGAGTTCAATCAGAAGAGAGAAAGTCTACAGGGTGTAAACAAAGTCCTTAGGCAGTTGGTAGAATTAGCGGTTGTGTGAACTGTATAGCGACCCCATAATTAGTTCCGGAAATCGGTGCCGCCCGTCTAGGGTTTGGATTGGATTAGATTAGGGATCGACCGATACCGATCACCCCGCAATTGTATGAGTGTATCGGCCAAAATATTGGCCATTGGACGGCCGACTCATCGGTAACGGTCGATCCCTAGATTATATTCGGTTATCTTATATTATATTATAATATTAGAATTGCGAATTAACCATGAGGTCATTTTTTATCGTGGGATTTGTCAAATTTGCGGAAAATTCAGCGAGTGATATGATACATGATATGATGGTTTACCTGATTACTAGAAGGTATCTTGAAACAGTCGTTAATTATTCAGTAATTAATTATCTAGGGGCTGTTTCGGCAGATTTTTGGATTCATTCGCGTTAGAGCCAATGCATGGTCCTTAAAATCAGTTTTGAGTAAGAAACAAATTTGTTCTCTGAGAGATTTTCCGCGGGTAGTTAATCCGGTGAAATTTTAGAAGAGATTCGGTCGGGAATTACCAGGAAGTAATTACGGAATTGCGTTGAAAAATAATTTCCCTCGACCTTTGCTGGAATAAAAGTTTCCGTTTGCTTTCGGACACCAGTAAACCAATTTGTATTGCGTGTTGAAAACTAAAATTAGATAAGGTTAATTGTATAAAGGAAAGGGATAATCTCGGAGATAATAAACTGGCGCAGTTGGGTAGGCGAATTACCGTCGCGTAAAAAATTATTACCAGTGAAGGCCAAATCAATTAAATGTGCCAGTGTCATATTTTTCTTCGCTACAAAGGGACTATTGTTTACATTCAGTAGGTACTAAGTTATTCGAGCGCGTATGCACAATAACAAAAAAAAAGAAGATTGAACTTTGTCATCGTCACCTGCAGGACAGTTTTATACCTGGTTTTATATGAGGTTTAAAGGTTGCTTATCTTTAAGTAAAATCATCGTAAATTATGTGTGGTGGAAGCTGAGAATTATCAAAAAAAATTGAATCTGCGTTTCTTAAAGATATCAACCTCTGAAAAAATTTGTAGCTGTTTGTATTGCATGTATAACCGGTGATCCAAAAGAAGGAAGGATACCAAATTATTTCGTGCCCAAAGAATGCAAAAATAGAAGAAAAGAAAGACTAAAAAAGGTTTTCGTCCTAAGACGAGTAGCATTAGCGCATTTTCCATGCAGTGATCAGTACTTTCCAAAAGAATCGCCAAAAGACCATAGCTACATATATGCGCTGTTTTTATTTACTGGAAGCAATCATCTATGGTAAAAATGTCAAAAAAATGTCTCCCTAAACAAGACCGTTGGCAATGTTGCCATTGTGCAGTTTGCGCATGCGCACATCTGATTCTACAACATGCGATATGCTGGCTTTACTATTATAGAAGCATCTGTGGTTAAAATTTCGAAAAATTTTCAATAAATAAGAAAGTTCACATTGCGCAGTCTGCGGAACAGTCAAGGCCTCGGACGGACTGACGGACGGAGAAAGTGGCCATAATAGCGCCGTCCGATATTGGTTGGAAAATGCGTTAAAAAGTCGTGGCGTTATAGAAATGAACGAATAAGGTAGTTTGGAAGTTCGAACATCTGTCGGGGCGAATTTTCTGGAGAGGGTTTCTTCGGGGACGAGTTTTCTGAGGCGAAGAAAAGCTTGTTTGTCTTCTCCAAAGTAGAAATTTACCGGCGCGAATTTTTTAATCGCGATTTCCTTTGGAGAATATTCTGGAGGAGAATACTTCGGTGGTAGATTTACTAGGAAGTGTCCTAAGGCGCACATTTCTCGGGGGTTTTCGGGAGCGCAGAGCAAGTACATATTTGCATCGAATTTGACAGGGTATGGGGCGGTGCTATGGAGTGCGGGGGGTGCTCTGGAATGAAAAAAATTAACCGTGCCGGGAAATTGCTCACCAGAAAATTGTTAAACATTTATTAATTTCTTTACCAATTGTCAAGAGATATCGATACTAAAATATATGCCGAACGGTTTTTAAAAAAAAACTAAAACTCCTAATTAGAGACCTTACAATCAAAGTAGACTTTAGCGTTTTTTTTTTATTATTTAAAATTGATTCTAAATTTGGAAAGTCAGCTTTTTGCCAAACGAATAGCAACAAATGTTATGTTTCATTATCGGCGAGATTATCGGTTACGTTTTTATTCACACTTCGTACCGCCTTTGGGAAATCTTGTTTTCTTTATATGGGGCATACCTAACGTTTAAAGAAAATAATAACATATATAAACTTGATAAACATATAAATAGGAGAGTTCTTTTATTTTATTTTTCGGACGATCAAATAATACACGATGTTTATCGTTTAATATCACTGAGATTTAGGAAACCGCAAAGACAAGATGCGTTTATTCTCGCGTTTATTATTGTCACGTTATTGTACAATTTTCTAAAAAAAAGTGCAAAATCATACTTTGCTATGAAAAAACTGAAGATCGCATAATTAAAATATTTCTTAGCTACCTGATGTCAATTTGTTTCACAGGAAACTATGATTTTTTTTTGGGATTTTTTTATTAAATACAGCAGCTAACTTTGAATTCCACCTACAAAAATAAAAAGTGCCATGAATAGTCTATCTTCATCATCCTTAATGAAAGGTGTCCAATTTATTGCAAAAAAAGAAACTATTTACTTATGTATTTTTAAATTCAACATTTATTCTCTTCAGAAATTTAAAAAAAAACTAGATAAATAATTGAGCATCGTAACTAATTCACTCGTTAACTCCAATCATTAGCAAATGGACTAGTTTTAGTTGGAACACCCTGTAGATGCCTCACCTGATCAAAGTGTATGCGAAACGAGAGAGAGCTCGCCATAAGAATAAAAATAGAAAAAAACGATTCTTACTTTTTGAGCCTTCGCCAAATTAACCCATAATTGTCTCCAAGTGGAAAATTTTCTTTGATCACTAAAATTATACTGCATCTCCTTACTCGCATATCTGGTGCTTAATGGCGATCGATAATTGCAAAATTCGCTCGTCTCCATTTTAACCGAAACAATTCCAAAGGCACGTTTATACGCGGGGAATTAAAATGCAAAGGTTTTTAAAATACTTTAACTTAACCTATAAATGCTATCATCAGCTGATTGTGACATAAGCGAAAGGTTAAAATAACATGCAACAGTGGCGTTACGTCACTGCTGTATTTTTAGGGTTTAGTAGCTTTCCTAGATTAGATTGTAGCTTCAGTAAAATAAAGATATTTCCATATTAAGAGAAGAAAATAAAATTAGTTCTATCATTTTGTGTACGATGTGTTGCCTACGCTCCTATCGGAACGATCAATAAATTTGCACCCTTTTGTTAGGGGAACTTCTCCCTTCTACCGCTCCTACTACTTTAACGGCATAGGCAGGTAAGAAACTTATGAAAACCATTCTCCCCTTTGATTATGAGTTTTATACTGATAACGATTTAATTTAAAACACTAATTAAAGTAGAACAAAATGCAAAATGTGTGCTCTTTATAGCCTAATTTAAGCTCATACATAACGTTGTTAATTTTTTTAAATTTATTCATGATCTGTCTAATTAAGTACATTTAATTAAAGTACTAATTCATATATAATTATTTAATACTCTATTAATTAACTGCTTGTTTTAATTGGTCGGAAGTTCGTATTACAAATTTATAATAAACAATTATTACGCAGTTGATTTTATTGTAAACTTACGTAATTTTTTTTAATTCGCCCCTAGACACGTACAGCAATGGTCTGTACCTTTTTTTTTATTTCTTTGTGAATCAAAGTATTTCTTATTAAATGCTATTATAAGTAATAGGATAACTTAAATTAAAAGGTATGTATACAGTGTGTCCTATTCACGTTGAGACTACGGTGTTTTTAAGCTGTTTTTAAAGATAATAAAGACTTGTAGTTTTCGTAAAACTTAATATGACAAACAGGATTGGCCTAGCTACGTTAGTTTCTGAGATACAGGGTGAAAACGAAAAGTTTGACTTTTTGGGACGTTATCATATCTAAAACTGCCTATTTTAGATATTTTTACGTAGTTTTTAAGATTTGATTTTTTTAATGCAACACCCTGTATATCTTAACGTCAATTTTTTTGCATTCTTTTTGCTGATTACATTGATGTAACATAATCTATATCTTTTATTATTTTAGCTATGAACCAAAAATAATTGTCTTATTTTTTACCGTTTTTAAATATATAGTAGGCCATGGATTCATGGAGATTTTGTTTTTTTTATTGTATGTGAGACCAATTAATAAAAATCGCTGACCCTAGAACCAAGTCGTTTCAAAATTATTAATATTAAGAGTAAGATTAGTTTATTTTTTATTTGCGCGATAATTACTAACCTAAATGTAATGCTATTGGTTGGAATGAATTTTTTCAGAGCTTTCCAACGACATATCACACATGGAGGGTCACTATTTAAGATTTAAAAGTTGGGGTGACTGGGGCGCAGGGGGGTGCGTAGCCAACTATGTCATTGTGATTCCCCCTCCGAATTACCGAAACAGATTTTGATTTTTTTAAATATCTCGTTTATTTACTAAGACATGGGGGGTGGTAAGTTTTCAAATTGCCACCCTGTATAA